TTTATGAAATCTTCAATTTTAAAGTCTTTGTTTTAGTTCTGAATTGAACTAAGTATGTAACTACATATACCAAATATACCCCCCCCCACCCCGGTAACAACTGTTTAGTCATTTTTTTGGCATGAAATCTGTTGAGTGAAACATCTAAAGTTTGATTGTGATAGATGGCTTAAGTTAAGTTCATGTGGTAAAAATTATTCAGTGGGATCATTAGAATAGAGATAACTTTTTTAAAAGGTCAGAAATTATCTAGCACTGATGAGGAAAAAAATGATAAAACTCACTAATATGTTAAAAGAAATTTTAAAAGGCATAAATAAATTAAGCAGATAAATGGAAGATTTAATATCATAAAGATGCCAATTAATTGTACATTGGTGACAACTCAAAAGCAATTCCAATCAAAATTACAACTTTTTTGTGTGTGAACTTCACAAACCAATTCTAGAATTTCTATGTTAGAGTAAGGGACAAACGTAACCTAGATGCTTCTGAAGAAGAAAAACCTACCTTTCTTCATGCCAAGAATTATTCCTAAAATATACTAAATGAGCAAGATCCTATTATTTCAAGGAAAGACCAATAAAACTAAAGAGTGAGCCCAGAAACAAGCTAACATGTACAGAACCTAACTTATGCCACAAATGGTGTAGCAGATGTGAGAGAGATGATAGTGGACATTTCAATAAATGTTCTAGGACAAACTATGAGTCATACAGGAAAACAATAATAAAAAGTAGACCCTTGCCCAATAGCCATATATAATATTAAATCTGTCTGGGTTAAAGATGTAAAAAAAATAAAAGCAAAACCCTACTCTATAGGACAATATCATTGTGTCTTCCATAAGGACAAGGATGGTTAAACAAAACACAAGAAAGTGCAAACTTCAGATGAAAAGAAATATATTAATGAAATATATTAATCTGACTATCAAAACCTCTGACTTCTGACCATCAAAAGTTAATGTAAAGGAAGTGAAAAGAGAGTTGCACATGGGAGGGTGGGATTTCTCAATACATACAAGAGACAAAGGATTAATCATTGTCCAAAAGATAAAAAGAATTCACAATCTATAAGAAAAAGAGGAATAAATAACTAATAGAAAAGATGAGGAAAAGTCTTAATAGATAATTCACAGAAAGGAAATTTGAACAACCAATAAAAGATACCCAGCCTGATCAGTAATTACAGAAATGAAAGTTAAAAACCACAATGAGAGATCTTTTATAATTCACTACAGGGGGAGGAAAAATGTGTGTTAACTATACAGCACTTCTGGTGGGTACAGATTAGTATAACCACTTTGAAAACAATTTAGCATTCTCTGTGTACTCTTTTGTGTTTTTGATTTTGCATTTTTTTCATAAGTGTAGGAAAATAATCAAATGTTTATTTTGTTTTTTTGCATGAACTGAATTCTATTTTAGGATAACCAAATAAGTGATGAGGAAAAATTATTCTCTGTGGAAGAATTCTAGCTAAAAATGAGGAACAAATGACAGTAGTAGAGAATTACCATTATACAATCCTTGGTAAAAATATTTAGATACATTTCATTATTATATGCTAAAACCATTTGGGTGAAATGATGGGGAACTTTATTGTGCAGTGATCAGACTGATACCACCTGAACTCATTCATCAAGCTCACAGAGGTTCACATATTAAAAATTTTTACCTAAAAAAAAAAAAAAATTGAGCCTGGATTTCATCAAGCTGGCTGACAGGAAATAGAGGGATAGAGGTGGGACGTAAAACAACAGCGTAGAGTGATCAGTCACATTTAGAATACGAGACATTTCTTAGCATAAATGATGTGGTTTCTCCAACAAATCAACAGCATAAAAAATAAAAAGAAGGAGGGGATTGTTACATAGGAAAAGAATTGCAGAAGATAGAATAAGAAAACACAAAATTATTTGGATTTCGATGTGGTTAAACCAACTGTGAAAAAATAACTTTAAGACAATCAATGAATTTTGAGTAAAAACTATGTGTTAGATGATATTAAAGAATTATTAGTATGACAACATCTTGATGTTTTCTGTTAAAATGTTATCAGATAAAGATTCATACTGAAATATTAGTATGAGCAATTCATATAGGTGAAATGACACATTTTACATTTGCTTTAATATAAACAAAGATGTTTAGGTTATAGAATCTAGTATTTTTGGTAAGTTATTAGTTATGGAGTGGTGGTGGAGAGGAAGAGGTCTAGGATAACATCTGGATATGCCTTGGGTTGCAAGGGCAATGCCATTATCCAAGGCAGGGGATACAGAAGCAACAGCACACTTCAGAGATTAAAACAAGTTTAATTTTGAAAATAAATTTTAGGTGCTAATGAGATACACAGTAGGTTCTCTGAAGTAAGCAGTAGGATACATGAATATGAAATAAGAAGAGAGACCTGTGTTAGGGTTGTAGCTGTGAACACAACTCAACTCTAGAAAAGTGATCAAATCACCCAGGAGAATGCACATTATAAGAAAAGAAGCCTACGGATGATCTCTGGTGAATGCCAACATGTATGAAATAAACAAGGGGACAGCTCAATGAGGGATTCTGAAAATAAAAAGGGTATTCGAATAGTGTTGAGAAGAAAGGCTGATTAATCAGCATAATGATTAATCAACACTAACCAAATAAGGTAGAGAAGTTAAGTAAGAGCAGAACTGAAAATAATCCACAGGGTGTTGAAGTTGGCAGTCATTGGTGCTGTTTGCAGGAGTCATTCCATTTGAATAATGGTGGCAGAGAACTAATTACTGTGGGTTAGCACCTACCTGAGGAGTGAGAAATGGAGACACTTGTTATTTTGAGGAGCTCAGATAAAAACTGAAAGAGAGGGAGTGAAATAGTTGGAGTGCAAGGAAGATTTCCTTATTTGTTTATTTTTTATATTTTTAGTTTATTTTTTATTTATTTTGAGAGAGAGAGAAAGTCAGGGAGGGGCAGAGGGAGAGGGATAGAGAATCCCAAGCAGGCCTTGTGCTGTCAGCACAGAGCCCTGATGCGGAGCTTGATCTCATAACAGTGAGATCATGACCTCAGCCAAAATCAAGAATCAGATGCTCACCCGACTGAGCCACTCAGGTGCCCCAAGACGATTTCCTTTTTTAATATAGAAATAGCTTCAGCATGTTTAGAGGCAAGATAAAGGGGCTAGTTGAGAGAGTCAGTTTGAGAATTTTTAAAAATAGGGAGAACAGATGAAGTGTAGCTTCAGTGGAAAGATGGATGGAAAGCATCAAAAACATGTTGAATAAATTAGCTCTAAACAGAACAAGTTGGTATTTTTTCTCTGGATTCGTAAAAATGTTGTGAGACTAGATATATGTATAAAGGAATATTTCACTTGGTAAGAATAAACTATCAATTCTTCTTCAAGAAATAAATCTATTTCTAAAAGTAGAGGGTGCAGCCACCTAAGGTCAGACGTATTTTGCTTCAGAACTGTCACCAGAAAAAAAGCCTGAGTCATTCCAGGGCATATATCCCTTATGGTTCTTGGGGAAGCATAGGTCTCGCTGTGTTGGAAGAATGTGCACAGGTTTGCAGCAAATTGGCCCTCTGAGAACTGGGCGAATGGACAAGACAGCATGGTTGTAGGCCAAGAGTCAGGAGGAGTCATATTCTGAATGCAGATGGCAGGCCCAGGAGCCAAAGGCTGCGGGAATGGAATTGTGAGTGAAAATAATCAGAAGGGTACTCTGAGGGGAACACTGACTAGTGAGGAAGTCTATTTTGGTTGACAAAGAGAAAGAATCAGTTGGTAGTCTCTATGTTTAGACTGAATGTAATATGTGAAAAGTGAGGCAAATCATATATTGAGAGGAGTCAGTGTCAACAGTTGGCAACAAAGGTCTTGAGGGTGGGGTGGAGGTTTAGAATATTTCTGGATATTTTTTAGAATATTTCTGGATATCCACACCTCAGTGAAATTTCCTAAAATTTCCCCTAGGAGAATCCAGGAATTCGGCTACAGGTGCATTAAAAAAAAAAAAAAAAAAAGTCCGTATCAATCTACTTTTGATGTTAGCAGGATAGATACAGCCAAAGCACAAAAAGATTGGAAGAGAGGAGTTAAATGACTTGTAGGTGAGATAAGAAAAGGTGGGTCCATTAAGGTGAGGATGAGTTAAGAAGTCTTTAGAAAATAGCAATAGGATGCATAAAAATGGCAGGAATGTCAGAGGAGCAGAGTGTTATTTATTGTAAGTGTCAAATAATCTGGATACAATGGAGAGTTCAAGTAGAATACTGCTACCACTTTTGAATTCTATGGAAAGTAAGAGAATTAAAAAGTTAGCTTGAGAGCTATTCAGAAGAAGATAGAAGGGCTGATCTGTGAATAAACTGATGGTATAGAGCAGATCATCTGTGATAGGTTGAGGTCTCCAGAAGAAAGGGCAGGGGTCAACAGTAAAAAGAATGTGGGTGGGGAGGAATCCCAGAATAGGCCAGTGATGAGAATAAATGAGGGTGAGCTAGTCAAAGGCTTGTACTTTGGTTGGTGGCCAAAGAAAAGAGGGAGGAGAATGTGTTAGATGGACTGTTCCCGAGGCTCCTAAGCAGACCAAGTCCCCAGTGGGCAAGAGCTTATGAGATTAGCCATTTTTAGGCGCTACTTATCATTTAAAAGGAATGTCACTGAAAATTTACTTACCTCATCTCTGAAAAGTTCTCTTCCTCAGACTGTTAATGGAAAAAGTACATCTATGATCATTCCCCACTTAATTTTTTTTATTTTGTATTCAAACCAATCTTATCATATTCCAAATGCATATGTATATGCATATCGACACAGATATATACATACTTTAGAGACAGAGATAGAGAGAGAGAGAGAGAGATACATACACACATATCTATATAGATATATATAGATATCTCTACTCCAGGCACGATGTAGAACATAAAATAAAGATCTTTTACCATGCCACTGAGGAGCTTGTTCTCTTATTGAAAGTGTGAAGAGTGCATATAATTTACCTCATATCTGTGGGTTTTGGAAGGAGTCTTCTTTTTCCACTAAAATAGACTTCAAAATCTTCAATCTTTAGTCTGTGGGCATAGTCAATGTATCCTGACACTTCCTGCCCATGCGAGTTTTTGTCACGAATAAAGATCACGGTCTGGTAGAACACACAAAAGATGGAGAATAGAAAGAGTAAATGAACAAAAGTTATTTGAATACATTGCATATGATAATGAAAGCTAGAGATTTGGGGCGTTACATGTATCAGACCCTATTCTTTTAAAAAATTTTTTTTTCAACGTTTATTTATTTTTGGGACAGAGAGAGAGACAGAGCATGAACGGGGAAGGGGCAGAGAGAGAGGGAGACACAGAATCGGAAACAGGCTCCAGGCTCTGAGCCATCAGCCCAGAGCCTGACGCGGGGCTCGAACTCACGGACCGCGAGATCGTGACCTGGCTGAAGTCGGGCGCTTAACCGACTGCGCCACCCAGGCGCCCCCAGACCCTATTCTTAAATGCTTTACATTTCAGCCTCGCCATGATCCTAGGAAGTCGGTATGATTATTTACTCCTGACAAATGAAGAAATTCATTACAAGTTAACTTCACATTCATATAATGTGCATTTACAATAATTTTATATGACAATATCAGTAAATAATTTATAGAGGTCTTCTAAAGGGCAGACATTAAGTATTTGTAGTATATTATTTACTTGTCCCCCAATCCTATGGTCTTCTTGATGTCATAATTTTTTTAAGTTTATTTGTTTATTTTGAGAGAAAGAATGGAAAAGAGAGAGAGAAAGCATGCACAGGAGTGGGGGAGGGGCAGGGAGAGAGACAGAGAGAACCCCAAGCAGGTTCTGCACTGCCAGTGTAGAGCCTGATGTGGGGCTCGAACACAAAACCACCAGATGGTGACCTGAGCTGAAATCAAGAGCTGGATGCTTAACCAACTGAACCACCCACAAGCCTCTTGTCATACTATTTTTTAGATGGGAAAACTGAGGAACAGAGAGGTTGAGTACTTCACTCATGTTCTCACAGCTAGAAATGGAAAATTGAGATTAAAACTCTGGCTCATGTGATTGTCTTTCTAATCACTACATCATTTTTCCATCTGAATGCTTATATATTTTCTGTTATAGAGATATAAATATCTGGTTCCTTCTCATGACCATGAAAGTCAAAAAATCTCTTTATAAATTAAAGTCACCTTACAAATTAATTCCATAAGTCCAAATAAACAGCAAGTACATATTTCTCATTCATCTTAATTCTTGCACAATATTGTTATTCACCTACTACATGTTAGGTTCCACTGTAAGTGCCAAGGACACAAGACAGTAAGTATCCTGGCCTCTCAGAACTTATGTTCTGGTGAGGGGAGACAGATGAGATATGGAAAGGAAAAAGTACTTCTGGAGAGTGATAAATGCCATATAAATAAAGCAAACAAAGAAGCAAATAAAGCAAATAAATAAACAAAGCAAATAAAGAAGACGGTTGACTGGAGAATGAGTTGCTTGTGGTGAAGCTTACTTCAAGTAATCAGAAAAGACCTTGGGGAGGTTAATTTAAACCATGACTTGAAGTCTGAAGGATGAGAAAAAGTTAGCCATGTAAAGATCTAGAACAGAAGCCTCTCAGGCAAAGGGAATACCTGATGGCAAGGTCCTTAAGTGGGAACAAGCTCACGCAAATAAAAGAACTGTAATCTTTTCTCTATCGAGCCAACGGACATTGATCTCAAGTTCTAAGAGAAAAACAAAACAAACAAGTGAGGAAACAAAAAAATACAACTGTAACTGGAAGAGCTCTTGATGTATTTATTTCCAAATTGAATTCAAACTGCAGAATTTTATGGCAAAGTTCTACATTTGGAAGAAACGATAAAGAATCTTCCTTTTCCTCTCCAGCAATCATTAGATGGTTCCTTGTTGTATCTTTGTGTAGTCAATTATAGGAAGTACTAACATGGGTTACCTTAGACAGCAGAGCTTCCAGAAAACTAAAAGAATTTTTTCCCAGCCAAACCTGAGGAAACACGTTGCTAACAGTTTCCCAGTTGAAAAGCAGAAGAATAAGCCATGGTTTACTGCTAGTTGCTAGTTTGCTAAACTTCACCTGCCTGCTGTGGTTGTTTGGCATTGAGTGCTAAGGATACTGTGTTAAGAAGGATTCTGAGGCACATTCTTGGCTTAAAGACAGGAAGTATGGTGACGGATTAGTACCATTTCCCATAGATATGGCAGAAAGAGCTAGCATTGTCATTCCTGTGCTCAGACTTACATAGATTCAATCCCTAGTCCTTTTCATTTTCACCATATAACTCCAGTTAAATTTAGATTTCTCCATGCTTTTAGCCACACAGTTTTTAGCTTTTGCAGCACAAATTCTTAAATGGATGGTATCTCAATGAGACTTCCTGGGACTATTACACTATTAAACCCATACCTAACATTGCTATCCCTGCTTAAACAACACTATGTGCTGTAACTATCGATGTTTCCTATGCAGTCCTAAAGGTGCTTGGAATCTTTATGCCATCAAGGCTGCTCCTGATGTTAGGCAAGTCATACAGGCGCACACACACACACACATACACACACACACACACACACACACACACAGAGAGAGAGAGAGAGAGAGAGAGAGAGAGAGAGAGAGAGAGGGAGAAATAAAAAGTCCCAAATAAGTCCTCTACTTTAAAATGGAACTCTATTAACAGGGGGAAAAAAAGGCTCCTCTGTCTACCTCTGTCTTTGTCCCTGTCTCTCTTTTTAAATGAGATGGGCCAGCCTTATTTTTTCAACAGAATGGCATACCAAATATTGTAACAGACCTTCCTGCTGAAAAATACAAATTCTGGGTAATATCTAAAAAGCAACTTGTAACATGCGTTGATGCACGGGCAAGAAAACGAGAAATACTAGTGTCAAACACTTAGTGAAACCAGACCCCCAGAAAGGAAAGCAGAGCCCTAAAGCCATCTTTGGCCTGCAGGCATGTGCCCAACCCCAGGGAATCTCAGCAAGAATTCCATGATTTGGGTGGTTGGAGGTGACCGGAAACAAAATCCAGCCTTTCAGGTAGACAGACTAATAGGACTTATTGCCTCAACATAGGGCAGAGAAATAAAAGGATGAAAACAATCTTCCATGTGTCCAGAGAAAAGAAGAATCATTCCAGAAGTATACATCCAGAGAAAGTATCTTTCTAGTGAGCAAAATACAGACAGTTTCAGACCAAAGAATGAGACTTTTCTTTGATTGACAAAAGACTCTTGCTCAGAGAAATCCTAGAGGATGTCCAGTTGACCCTTGAACAACGTGGGTTTGAATGACACAACTCCACTTGTATGTGGATTTTTTTTTCAATAACTACAGTACAGTACTGTAAATGTATTTTTCCTTCCTTATGATTTTCTTAATATTTTCTTTTCTCTAGCTTACTTTATTGTAATAATACAGTATATAATACATACAACATACACGATATGTGTTAGTTAACTGTGTCATCAGTAAGGTTTCCAATCAACAGTAGGCTATTAGTTAAGTTTTTGAGGAGTTAAAGTTGTATGCAGATATTTGACTGCATGGTGGGGTTGGCATATTTAACTCCTATGTTGTTCAAGAGTCAACTGTACTTCATGCAAAAGAAAGTGACTCTAACTGAAAGGTCAGAGATAAAGAATAGAATGATAATCAAAGAAAATAGTACATATATGGAAAAAATATAAACAAATACTGTGTAAAAGAATAATAATAATGTCTTCTGTAATATAAAAAACAATAATATGTCTAAAATTTTAAAACAAACATATATGTTAAAATGTTGGAATGTCCTTGGATTTTTAAGAATAAAGGCAGTTATATTGATTAATTCTAGAATCTGATAAATATACATGTATAAATCTAGGACCACCATCAACAAATAGAAAATACTGTATGTGATCTTTAAATTATTAAAGGAAGAAAAAAAATGAGGAAAAAGTGATCAATCAATGAAACAGAGGGCAAGAAGGTAGATGAAAAATATGGGAGAGGCAGGAAAAATCCACATACAAGTGAAGCTGTGTCATTCAAACCCACGTTGTTCAAGGGTCAACTGGACATCCTCTAGGATTTCTCTGAGCAAGAGTCTTTTGTCAACCAAAGAAAAGTCTCATTCTTTGGTGTGAAAATGTCTATATTTTGCTCAAAATGTAATGATAGTGGTATGGGCTGAATTGTGTCCCCTCAAAATCCACATGTTGAAACACTATCCCTCAGTACCTCAGAGAATGTATTTGGCCATACGGCCTTTAAAGAAGTTATTAAATTTAAGTGAGCCCATGAGGGTAGTCCCTAATCCAATCTAACTTTATAAGAAGAGGATATTTGGACCTATAGACATCAGGGGTTTGTATGCAGGCGAAAGACCATGTGAAGACTTAGTAGGAAAGGGGTACTGGCAAGCCAAGGAGGAAGGCTTCAGAAGAAACCAGCCCTGCTGACATCTTGATCTGTCTTTGACTCCTAGCTTCAAGGACTGTGAGAAAATAAATTTCTGTTGTTTAACCACCCAGTATGTGGTATTTTGTTATGGCAGCCCTAGCTAACTTATATATATGGTAGTAAATTAAAATAGTTAAGTAATGACAATGTAAATGGCTAAGTGTTTAAGTTAAAAAACAAAGGTTCTTAGAATGGATAAAAAATATGGTATAGAATGTACAGTTGAAAGTTAACTGTTTAAAGAATATGCATACGAAGATGTCCAAAAGAGGGTTGGTATTAGCATATTAGTATGAGACAAATGAGTTTGAAGACAAAAACTGTTCCTAGAGATGGAGAGTCACTAGACAATGATAAAAGATTCAATGCAGAAAGATAGAACAATTATAACCTTGAACGAACCTTTGAAAACATAGTTTCAAAATATGGAAAGCAAAAATGGATAGAACTACAACGATAGATACACAAGTCATCAGCATCGTGGTTAATTTATCTCTCACCTTAGGTTTCAGATCAATCCATAAATTCCATAATCATTCTAAAATTAATATAGATTGTAAAGAATTAAAAACACAAGCTTGAGTGCTCGGTTTTTACCTTAGCCAAATACCTAAACATCTCAATGTTTTGCGGATAAAATGACTGATGGTCTAAA